AGAGAGCCTCCTAAATGTTACACATGTTCAAATCTTTCATTGATTCCCACCACATACCACCAGAGGCAGCTCGCGTGCCACCACCAGAGAACCAGTGATGGTTGTCACAAGTGCACAATACGTACTTGACAGAGAGTAAGGTCACTCCACTCCTACCTGACACTGTACGCTTCCATTGCACAATGAAAGGGAATCTAAGGATTCCGTTCCTCAGGGACTCTGACAGTAAAAAGCATGCAGACCAACCCCGCTTCCCCTACAGCTCACCAGTTTCCGGAGCCGACTATGCACACTTTGAGTGGAGAGGCCATCGCTGCGGCTTCCTGCGTCCAGCTGTTCTCTGCACAAACACCCGGCAAACTCTGGAGACGACCTGCTGCAGGGACTCTTCCACCGCCCGAGCTGCACAATGCGCGTCTTCTTCTGATGACGTCGCAAAATGTGTCGCACACAAGGCTGTCGGCAGTTGTAGTTTTCATTCAGGCCTTTGTTAACGTAAAAGGCAGCCTCTAGGTTATATAATACTGTGTCACTTGATGAATAATGGATGACATTTCTAAGATATAATGCTTACACACATGCAGTAGAGATTGTGTTTGTCATAATAATATAATATACAATAAGAACAGTAATTTCTAATTACTTACAGTTGTCTGTCCATTTCTGTTGTTAAGCTATGCAGAATGCCTATTTATTCATGACATTAACATGGATTGAAAATAATCATAATAATTAGACCATACATGTTGAAAATGAAATGGGACTATCCATGCATATTTTAAATCTGCAGTAGGTCATTTTAATAAAAAAATAACGTTCTCTCATATTTACTGAAACTTTCCCTGATATGCCTAAAGGCATTTCCACAAATCCGCTGGGCCCAAACGAAAACAGCCAATCAGATGCGAGAAACATGGGTTATTCGATTATCTGTCTCGTGAACTACTGTCAGCATATAGTGAACGTTTCACCAAATATGACTGTTGCTATGATGTTTCTGTAACGTTATTGGAATAACATAAGTACAATTATGCTCGAACTGTGAGGTTCTCTAAGGTTTACTGCATAATTGATTCTCTGAGGCCGGCTGTAGGGGGAGTATCCCGGGCTTGGGGGGGAGTGACCAACCCGGGATTTCCAAAAATAAAAAAAGGCAACGACGTCAGAGAAAGAGAGAGAGAAAGAGAGAGAGCGCGCACCGCGGTAAAGTGGTCGGAATATCCCTCCAGTGTGTCAACAGAGTCGGAGCAGGCAGTAGTGAAGTCTCCTGTATCTCACTCTCTCATCACTGCATCACTTTGCCAAAACCCTGTATTAAAGATCTCCTTTCGGGCGCTCGTGCTCTTGTTTTCCTCTGAAAAGCACTCTTATCTCAGAGTGGTAACGAATCAAGAGCAGCAGTAGCAGCATGAACCGGTCCGCGCGTCAGGAGAGCCGGCAGCCGCACAGCCTGGCTGCAACGGAACGCGGGGTGGGGGCCGGGACCACGGACAGCGGCGCAGGGTCGGGCCCCTCGCACTACAAAACAACCCGTAGCAAGCGACACCTGGAGGGGGTCCTGAAGAAATACACCAACCTGCTCCAGAGCTGGCAGAGCAGGTAGGTCGCTATACTGACACATTAATCTATATTACATGGCACATTGTTTTATCTTTGTATGGGGAATTAGAGGTGTTGACGCTGTAGTTCATGTTGATTTAATCTTATTCTTATAGGATATTGGATCTGAGCAGTTTAAGAGAATAACATACCTAATATTACATGTTTCACTAAACGTAGAATTCTGAAATCTTTAAAAATGTTTTTTATATTATCAGTAATTGTTTCTATTTTTCACAATTTATTTGACTCCCTAACCCAAACTGTCCAACACAAAAGACTAAACCTTTTTATTTTTGGCCTAAATATATTGAGTTAACCCCCACCCACCCCTCAGTCTCTCTATGTTGTTGTCAATATCTTATTTGACAATTAATATTTGAAGGTCAACCAACTTGAGGAAACACCCCTCAGAATCTGTAGGACAGGTCTGTAAACCATCACATAACCTTTCCACTCATTCATCTAAATGTGCCTTCCTCCTCAGTGAGAGATACGGGTGTGGAAGTCCCAGAAACAAAGAATGAGTCATACAGGATCAGGAAAGCCCTGCACTCCTCTTCTGCATCTCAATACTCCCTCCCCCTCTTCACTCTCTCTTACCCTCTCCCTACCTCTCCCTCTCTGTCCCAGTGGATCAATAGGAAAAGCATCCAAATGTGTAATGAGTTCCATGATCACACTTTGACCGTGTGGTGTACTTAACTTCCTCACAAACACACACCCACACACACACTGATGTACTTGACTCAGTGCACTCAGAAACATAAATGAAGTAGAGTTTGAGTGTGTGCGCGTCAGCAGGTTGCAGCTAATTGGGGATGGGCACTCCACTGGGCAAAGATAGGGTGCCATGATGTTTTAATGATTCCTTTGTTTGCCTGGCCATCCCCTGACCCTTAGGTCATACCATCCCTATAGAACAGATAGATAGAGTCCCTCCTGCAGGACTGGGGGCTGTCCTTTAGTATGAGCTGCAACAAACCCCTGCTGCCATCAGTGGTAGGGCTAGGGGTTATGGTCTAAGGGAGTGAGGGGACGTTTTGAGGATAATATCTGCTTGGTCTGCTCAGAACACCAAATAGGTGTAGGGATATTGAAATGTTATTTCAGTTTTGCTCCTATAACAGTGGAGCAAACTTCAGAACCTTTCAACTATCTTCTTTCCTGTAGTTAGATTTAAGTTAAGTGAAATAGTAAATGGTAAATGGACCTGTACTTGTATAGCGCCTTTCTAGTCTTCTAGTCACATCTTAAGTTAGCTAGCTAATGTAAGCAAAACACTAGCTAACTTTTAGCAAATTATCAAAATAAACAGTTTTGCCTTATAAAAATACCATATGAATGCTGTAAAAAATGTTTTTGCCATGAGATATGACAGAGGTGTTCTGTAAAATAAAAAAAGACTTTATTCCATATGAATTCCTTCAAAATTCTGTATAAATAAAGATTTTGCTGTGAGATGGGACAGTGTTTTACTGTCATAGAAACGGTATTTAACCTATTAAGAGTTTACAGTCTTTTACTGTCATGGTTTGACAGTTTTCACAGGAGTACGGTCTAGACCTGCTCTATTTGAGAAGTGTCCGGAGATAACCTTTGTTATAATTTGGTGTTATACAAATAAAATTGAACTGAATTACATCTGAAAGCTAATGCTTAATGGACCTGTACTTATATAGCGCCTTTCATACATTCACACACAAAAGTAGAATTGTATTCTCACTGATCATTAAGGCTAGCTATTTTTTTATATTGGATAACTTGTATTTTGATGTTAGAAAACACTGAGAAAAAGATGTCTTCCCAATCACAGACCAGTAAGTTAAGGTTTCTATAGGCTATGTAACTTTCAGACAAGCATTGTTGATAATGACAACTGTCTCCTTATTTCTCTGTCACTTCTCTCACCTGTAGATACTTTGTACTGGACCCAGAGGTTGGTCAGCTCCAGTATTATTTGAATGAACTCAGTAAAAGCCAACGACCTCCCCGAGGGTCTCTTCCTCTCCTTGGGGCAATGGTGGTTTCGAGTGATGAGTTTCCCTACATGTTTACAGTTCAGTCCACTACTGGGGATTCTTACAAACTTAGAGGTAAGAGAATGTAAAATATTATTTTTGGTAGAAAAATGCTTATATAAAGAGGTACAATACAGTGTTTCACTATCAGTGTAAACAACAACTTTGTAACTGAAACACACAGTGCATCATTTCAAATGTTTAGATTCCATTACTATATTAATGGAAACATTTTTTCAAAACATCATGCAATAACACTAAGAACTGAACTGCATTTTTCTGATTGATTTGTACTAACTAACTACTTTGTGTAATAAATGAGAAAGTTTACAGCAGTTAATGATTGCATTTAAAACAAAGACAACAAACAACAAAGACAACTGCTATGAATGTGTTGAATTTAGAAAGGTTATAACTTGCATCTTTTGGACTATCGGAATTCTTTATGTAAATTTGTGTCAGGCTTTGTGTCAGGCTTTGTGTGAAGATCGGACCACCATGAGCAAGCACTTGG